AAAGGGCAATTCACACCAGCCCACCCCATCTTCTTCCACTTCTATGTAATAGCACCCCATCCTTTCCTCTCCTACAAAGCATCTTCTTTGGTATGCACCTGGGAAAGATCACACCATTGCAACTTTTTACTTCTATAGCCTATTGCAAAGTGTTAACTGTGTTACATATAACCCTTTAATGATCAGTAAAAGGGCCAACTGAGGACTGCTCAGGTGTGCCATCTGAATGATTTGTTGGTAGCTCATTATTCTTGAGAATAAATCCTTTAAAAGAAAACCTTCCCCCGTTGTGCATTTTGGACATACATACACCAGGACAATGGACCATTTGGTCAACATCAAGGCAGTGATGCCAGACCAGTTTTTCTGAGTCTGAGACATGCAAACCACACACACACTTTGTGGGAGTGGGATGTGCAGACACAAAAACACACATTTGCAAACAGGAATTAAATTTGCCTACATTCCTAAAAACAAAATCCAATTCCAACAATGAGCAGATGACAGAACAAACAATTATTGACAATCTGCGAAACAGAATAGATTTAACTAAGTCCATACATCTGTAGCTCAAAGTGGCACTTATTTTGATGATATTGTGTTCCCCAAGGTGTAGTCCATTCAGACATTAAAATTATCTACAAAGGGTAGATTAGGTTGGTCACCTTCAATATAAAAAAAGATTATGCCTTGTGTTTTGGTCCAACAAACAAGTATGTTACTACATTGTTGTTTCTCATTGCAGACTTACAAAACCTGGTATAACAGAACGGGGCAGAGAGCGATATGATTTATTTCAACTTCCAACTGACCTATAACTGACATTCCTAGCATATGTTGCACTGGGCACTGTAGCTTGGGTATATTGGTGTTCTAGGCCTTTCAGAAGGAGCCTGTGATAACAGGAAGCACCTCAAAAATATTTATCTCCCAATAGGGTAAATGGAAAATTGCATTCCTCCTGATAAGCCATATCACATTCCTCAGAGTAAGAAAATGAAATGAGCCGTTGTTTTGAGAGGTTCAACCAAGGCAGCATAAAGTCTACTCTCTTGTACAGGAGGTTCAGAACTTTCTGCATTACTCACCATGGATATCTAGAAGTAGTTTAAGAGACAGCTGATATTTAGGGTGGGGAGGGAAAGATAATCACCAAGACATTAACATTAATGTAATGCTCCACACTGAAGCTTCAGCATAAAACAATTAGGAATACACAGATAAGGCCAATTATATATACTCAGAGGGATATAAATGTGAAGTGTTTCACAAGTACAGAAGTCTGCCATATAAACAAATGCTTATACGGAACAAAATTAATTTGCACCAATATATTCAGCAGAAGAGTCATGATTCAGTATGCAGCTTTCTATAAATAGTGCTTATTGCACCTGATCACTACAATAAATAAGCACCTTTGTTCATGAACATATTCAGCTCACACCAGTGAAGCTGATGCTTATTTAAAAACCATCAAAAGTGAGAGTAGCAAACACAGTTTATAATCAACAAGCTTTTCTTTTGCTGAATGTCATCCACTGAAAATGGGTCTAGAAGAGTTTGAGATGACATCAACGTGGCAATAAGACTTTAGCAAAACACTTTTAAAACCTCATTTTAAGCCTGCATATATGTATGCATGTATATAAATCTGACTGGTATGGGTTAAAACTTAATATTAATTTCCTGATCTAGCAAGGAAAATGGAAGCAGCTTTTGCACATGTGCTCCCTTCTTAGACTTGAGTTCTTAGAATAGATTTGGATGAACATCTAAATGTATGCATGCATTGATTTGCACACTCAAACCTAAGGTTGGGCATTCATTTCTATCCTCATTGCAGTGTCAGTGGAAACATAAATCCCCAATAATGTCACAGACTGTGCAAGCATTGCAGCATGTAACTATATTTAGTCTGGGGCCCAAGTCTACAGTAATTCACAATAATCAGTTATATAATAATGGATTCATTAGGGAGTTATTGAGCAAAACGTATTCTGCCTTGGAACTAGGAAGGGCAAGAAGTATGTGGTCTTTTCAAAATGCATTGTCATCTAAACATTTCCAAGTCATTCACTTTAAAACTCATCCACACCCTTCAAATGCCTCATAATGAATTTGATATATACTTATAAAGACATGTTGCAATATATAAAAAATAAATGACTCATATTTTAGTCATGTCTCTACAATTGAAAATGGTGATTTGCCTATATTAGAATGTAAAAACCTCTGTCTTATTAGACATTCCAAAAACAAAATCCTAGTTAAAAATGTGGGAGTGAGAAGATGGCATTTTGCACTGAAAAGAACTAACTACCTTCTATCTCACTTCACCATTATTTAACAATTCAAGTTATTTGTATACCATGACTTCATACAACTGCAAAATAAAATACTACAAAACCCAGATTGAAACAACATCAACTTTCAAATACACAACTTCAAAAACAATACTAACAACAGAATGAGGATTCACTTCTAATAGCTGCTGCCAGATTACAAGGCATCACCGTGACACAAACTGTTAACTCACCACAAGGTGGCTGAAGCCACATGAAGAAAGTGATTGTCAGTAGTGTTCTAAGCAGATGGTGAAGCAACTTTTTTATGTTCCACTATTGATCACAAATGTGAAGTGAACTTTGCAGAGAGTAAACTTTGTATTACCATACTGCCAGGTGCTATAGACAACTCCCATTGTAGCTGCCCTGCAGCAAGTTTGCCAGGGAAGCAACTCCCACCATGGAGTATGCATTATTCACTCTGCAGGTAAAACAGAGACAGCAGAAGACCCCAGCTTAAAAGAAGTTGGCCACTTTTTGGTTTCCTGGCTACAAGCCTATATCATTTTGCTTACTGTCTACCTCCCTGCTATGACTATGATTAAACTGGGAAGGGGAAAAAATCTAGCACAAGGTTACCGAAACAGAAAAAAATTTAAAAGATACCTGAAATGTTTCTCATGGATCAGGTTTTAGCACAGAAATACACACAAATGGGAAGAAAAAAACCCCAGCAAAACCATTTCCTTTCCCTCTGTCTCCTCAGTAGATCAGGAAGTGTTGTGAGCCGCCCCGAGGGTTCGGCAAGGGGCGGCATAGAAATGTTTTAATTAATAAAAAAATAAATAGTGTTGCACTGAAAACTGAGTGAAATTAAAGCACATCTGAACTGTATCCTCTCAAGTTTGTGTAAAAGGTACTTTTCTGTGTTCTGTCTTTGACTTTTCTTCCTATTCAGGGAACCAGTATTCAATTATTTTTAAAGTTCCAGATGTCAGTTCAGCAGCTGCTTTATTACTCTAAGACTTCCATTTCCACATGGAATGCTGAGCAGAGCCAACATGCACAATAAGAACTGCAGGTTCTTCTCTGTATCATCATTCAAGAGAAATGGAGCAAGACAACAGGCAAAAGCTCAGTATCAAGTCCAACTGTGTGACACAACTCCACACAATTGTACAGATATAGGATAATAACATCTGACTTCTCATGCAATAATACAATTACGATTTGTCATGCATCAGGGGGTTGGACCCAATGGCCTACATGGCTCCTTCTAGCTTTACTATTGTATGATTATCAATCCCTGTACCAAAGCTATGGGACCCATATGCAGGGATAGCAAGTTAATTTTGTAAGGAATCTACTTTGTCCACTATCTATGACCACTGAAAACCACACTGAAAATAAACACTTGGAAAGTAAAACATGTATGTAGACATATGTAACAGCTATGAGGTAACTCTTACTACAGTCTAGAGGATTGCTCAACTATTTCTATACTCTTGACAGGTTTTTTTTTTAAATTCCAAGAAATGGAAATGTGTTCCATCTTTATTCAACCTGATGCTTCAGTCCCTACCACATACTGAGTTTGGTTGAGGGCAGTGCGTGACATACTGTGGCACAAGCATCACAATGGGAGAGAAAGCAAATGAGCATGTCACCTTTGGAGTGAACTATGAGGACCTATAGCCTGACTATGGCAGAGTCAATTGTACACTCCTGCCTGCCTCTTCAGCACTAGAGGTAAAGTCACTTGAAATTTGCATAGGTACTGGAGTACATATTAACCTGGCACAACTACATATTTTGATGAACCTGTAAAAAAGCTGGCCATCACTGATTTGAGATATTTATATTTCTTCCCTTTCCAAATGTGTAACAAGAGCCCATGGAATTCAACAGCAATACAGAAACAGAAAACGACAAACCAATACATCTCACATACAAGCACAGCTAGTTAGCATACAAATTTAGGATCTGGTCAGTCAGTAGGATACATTGCTGTACCTTTAACATGCAACAGCCTTCCCTTACCCAGTGTCCCCAGAAATGATAGCCCTAGGCACATGTCACAAGTTCCTGCTTGCTTTGCAGCTGGGTAAGGGAGTGGCATGAGTAGACTGTAAGATTGGACTGTGGAAATCAGAAATACATTAGATATGCTTTTGGCCACCTTCCAAAGCACCATACACTCCTAGAGCAAACTTTATGAGAGATGAAAGGCAAAAAAAGTGTATCATAGGCAGATAAATGTGGCCTTCAGAACAAGTGGAGAAAAACAACAGTGTAGACCAGCTCTTACAGCAGCAGTGATACACATGAAATCCCCCAAAGTATCTTACTGAACAAAGCATAATAAAAGAAATATATTATCAAATTAGGAAACAAGGCCTAGGATGGAAAACTATGCCAAATCATCAAAAACAAGAGTAGAAACAGATCTGCCAGATTCAAGTTTCAAACATTACATCAAATACTGATGCTATCAGTGAATAAAGGGAGAGAAAAGAGAGAACTACTTTTGCTACTGGGTCAAGCAACAGGTACTGCAAAAGCAGGAGGTCCGATCAGATCACAAACAACAGGAGCACAGAGAAGAAAATGCTAGATCAGGTTGTGTGCCTTTATTGTTAAGTGCCACAAGCCTGGGCTAATTCATAAAATACATGTACATACTGCACTCCCATACTATGGCACTTTGAGTCTCACCTTGTGCAACTGCTGTCCTTTCCTGCATGCTTCGTGTGGCAAGACAGAAAGCCAAGAGCAGAGATGGTACAAACAGAAGAGAGAGCAAATTCACAACCATTTTAGCTTATTCATGAACAGCATCCTGCAAATTGGAAAAGAGCACAGGAAAAAGCATTACCTTGTTGGACTTTCTCCTTCCAGAGTCAGCCACACACCTTCAAAACTTGAGACTTGTATACTTGTTGCATACTCCTTTATCATAGCCTATTCATCATGTGACTGTCCAACAGCCTGGCTTTGCCCTCACATTTTTTTCCACTCCATGTCCTCTTTTAATGGCTTGTTTCCTTTTCCCCTCCCAATCACAAACTTCCAGGCCTGCACTAGGGAGAGCCAGTTCCTCCCAACTGCTATGATTGCTCCTCCCACCTTTCCACCTGCATAGGACAGGAAAATGAACCTTGCACACTTCTAAAAAAAACCCCACCCAACCTGTTAGTGGCAAAACAGCTAAGAGCTTACTCAGTGAACAGCTCAAAGACAGGTTGTGGAAGAGCTCTGCAGCTGCAAGGACAGCCGCTCTGTGGCAATAAGCCAGCCCAACTCTCTTGGACTCCTGCAAAGGCTGTTCTGGCACTGCTACGATAAGAAAATACCCCCAGTAATAAACAAAACAAAGGCCAAAAGGTAAACAAGGAAAATACAAGGAAAGAGCTATTTTTGGAAAAATGTGAGATTGCAAGACAAGACTAAACCTGCACAGCTACACCATGTGCTGTGATCACTGAATCCAACAGAAACACTGCAGGCTGAATTCTTTTGTCCATTCAAATTCTTTTATTTTCTTTTGCATGTACTATAAAGCACACACTTGGTAAAATGCTGCATGCAACCCTGGTAGAAAAAGATTAGCTGATGCTCCCTTCTGGCAAAACTCTCTGATTACAGAAAGCTGTTCAGAACCTCAGACATTACTAATTTGGAACAACTACAAGACTCTCTGGTCCTACAGTCAAAATAATGTTAAAATTGTCACCCCATATAAATTGCCACCCATATAACACTGAATAGTATTTAGCATTCCTTAGCCACACTGACTATGTAAATGGCAGGAAAGTGCTTCTTGTGTGAAGATATCTGATCTATTTGAAGTAAGAATCAATATGATGTGGTGGTTAGAGTGCTGGACCAGGACCAGCACTCTAACCACCTGGGCTTCTATTCCCAGTCAGCTCACTGGATGACTTTGGACCAGTCATGGACTCTTAGGCTAACCTACTTCACAGGTTTGTTGTGAACATAAAAATGAAGTGGAGAAGTACTATGTAAGCCACCTTGGGTTCCTCACAAGAGGAAAAAAGGAAGGATACAAATGAAAGTATAATAATACTAAGTGATAATGCGCATGCCTGTTCTCTACCCTTTCTGTGTTCTTGCCCACAGACCTGCATGTTTCGTGGAATGGATCAGCAAGGCTCAATTATATCACTGCATGGCTGGTCTGAGCCAATACATCATGTGTCTATATCTCTGTTCTGACAAGATACTTTGACTTATTTGCCTTGGCACCTAGTATTTGTTTTGTACAAATCAGCTATCATTTACATAACACTCTCAACATTAAAAGTGCTTTACAATAATTATCACAATTAGTTTTAATAATCTCTCTAGCTTGTCATCATAATATTGCAACAGTATCAAGGTGGGAGGTCTCCTGATTCTCCTGCAAAGATTGTGCAGTAGTATCACTCTCCCCCATCCACCTCATATCTAACTTTTGTAAGACCTCACAGAGAGCAACTGACCTGTCTAGTGTAATGTCCTCTTAATATTTTAATATGCTGATGTAACTCAGTGTTTCACTGCCAAACAATCCTTGCACTCCAATCCTTGCACTCCAAGGTTCTTGCCTTGCCCAGTGGAATAGATAATCAGGTTTCTGTCCTTAACACCATGTCTGTCATTGAGAAAATTAGAGAATAGTGGAAAAAATGCTACTCAGTGTAAGTGTTGTTGTTGCTAGTTGCAAAGTCCCATCGTGACCCCATGGACAACATTCCTGCAGGCCTTCCTGTCTTCCACCATCCCCCGGAGTCCACTTAAGCTCATGCCGACCGCTTCAGTGACTCCACCTAGCCACCTCATTCTCTGCCGTCCCCTTCTTCTTTTCCTGTCAATTGTTCCCAGCATTAGGCTCTTCTCCAGTGAGTCCTTCCTTCTCATTAGGTGGCCAAAGTATTTAAGTTTCATCTTCAGTATCTGGCCTTCTAAAGAGCAGTCAGGGTTGTCTCCTCTAGGACTGACTGGTTTGATCGACTTGCAGTCCAAGGGACTCGCAGGATTCTTCACCAGCACCACAGTTCAAAGACCTATATTCTTCGGTGCTCAGTCTTCCTTATGGTCCAACTTTCACAGTCATACATTGCAACTGGGAAAACTATAGCCTTGATTATACACACTTTTGTTGGCAGGCTTATGTCTAAGAGCATATAAAAGACAGCTGAGTGATATAGCATATGATTTTCATGCAGAAGATCTCAAGATAAGTTCTGAATAACTCCGTGATCTATGGGCTGGGAAAGAAGCTTGTGACCGAGAGCTTGGAAAGGCATGTTCAGCTGGCAATATGCTATTGGGTTTGTGACAGTGTTGCTTGAGTAGACCTTAAGAAAACGCTGGCATTGGCATTTATTGCAGGTGCTGTTATATATTTATTAATCTTCAAGCTGCAACCCTTGCATCACCCCAAATCAACATGATAAACCACTATGGTTACCATGTACATGCCACCCATAGGACACTGTGGCATGTACCAGTCTCCATTTTGTATATGTAAGCCTTAGCAGGTGTGTGTCATGGCTTGTTGGACCATGTGAACCTGGGCAGTAGAGGTTATGCAATGATTGAACAACCATCAGACACTCTAGAGTCTATAAGTTATGTTTTCAAGATGTTCAAATTCTTTTTAGAAAAGTCCTGAGCTGAAGAACCCCTGCAAAAGTCCCACATTTGAAAAGGGGAAGGGACTGAAAACTTGGCAGGAGGAAGGGAATGGAGTGGTTTGAGAGAGTTGTGGAGAATATATAGAAAGTAGAAAAATCTTTACATTATCTGGATGGCTCCCTTTTTTTTGCTTATATAGAAGCTCTTTTAAAACATTCTCAGAGATTAAACTGAAAGCTGTCAACAGAAACTAACAGAGAACTCCAAACTTTTAATGGAGCTAGGACTGGGCACAGCTGTGTCAACTTCATCTCTCCAACATGAAGTGGGAGTTCCAAAAGAGGAGAAAGCATGCTCAGCAGGTATGAAACCCTAACTGATTCAGGGGTGAAGGCAGAGTGAAGTGGCTAGAACTGCTTTCACACCGCAAGGTCTTTTTTTTTTTTTGCAAAAGATTCCCACTTTCAAAATTCTATTTACTTTCATGGTGCAATCCTATGCATACATGACCACTCAGAATTATGTCTGAGTGAGTTCAATGGGTCTTGTGTATATGGAATACAGCCATAAGCTTCATTGCATCTATAATACTAGGAGAGCGCCGCCCGCCGGCCCAGGTGATCGGGCGCACGCAGTGCGCGACGGGGCGGGTCTCGGAGGCGCCCTGCGGAGTCAAAGCCGCAGCAACGGCCGGGGCCGGCGGCCGAAGGGCGGCGACCAAAGGGGTCGCCGCCGTTTGGGGTGCCGTTCGGGGGGACGAGAGGGGGGCTGGGCTGGCCATGGACTCTTGTTGAAATAGGCTTGCCTACTGCTGATTCTCAGGGAAGAGGAAGGATCCCCTCTTTCTTTTTTTCTTTTTTTCTTTTTATCGTTCTTTTTCTCCTCCTTCGACCTACTTTATAATCTTACCCTGCTTTAATCAGTGCTTTGAGTCATTCCTGGCCATGTCGACGTTTATATATCCTGGGGAACCCACGGGGGCTGCTATTGGCGTGGTCACGGGCAATGGTCGTTACAACAATAGGGGCTTAACGTGTCCACGTAGAAGAAGGATGGACAGATGGCTGACACCTGTCCCTCCTTCTGATCCTGCCCCCAACCAGAGGGCGCCAGGTAGCCTTGTCAACCACCCCTCGGGTCTGACGGTGCTGCTGCTCAATGCCAGGTCGATCAATAATAAATCTTCCCTCATCCATGACTTGATTGTGGATGAGGGGGCCGACCTGGCTTGCATAACGGAGACCTGGGCGGGAGAGGGAGGGGCTGTGGCCCTCTCCCAATTGTGCCCGCCCGGGTATCTGGTTCAACACTGTTCACGCCCAGAAGGGAGGGGAGGGGGAGTCGCGTTGGTTTACAGAGCCTCCATCTCTCTCACGGGTCTTCCGGTCCCTTTGAGACCAGGGCTGGAGTGCCTCTACTTGGTGTTGGGCGAACGAGACAGATTGGGGATTCTATTGGTGTACCGTGCACCTTTCTGCCCAGCAGTCTCCCTATCTGAGCTGACAGAGACCATCTTGGATCTGGTATTGAGGACCCCCAGGATGTTGGTCCTGGGGGACTTCAATCTCCATGCCGAGTCTGGACTGACCGGGGCGGCTCAGGACTTCATGGCCTCTATGACGGCCATGGGCCTGTCTCAACACGTCATTGGCCCTACCCATGAACGTGGACACACTCTGGACCTGGTATTCACAACGGGGCAGGTAGAGGATGACCTGAGGGTGAAGAACTTATGTTTGACTCCCCTGTCATGGTCAGATCACCTCCTGGTGAGGTTTGTGCTCGAGAGCGGCCTCTCCCTCTATAAGAGTGCGGACCCGATTGTATGGGCCCGCCCCCGGAGCCGGATGGATCCGGATGGATTCCTGGGGGCCCTGGGGGAGTTTCCGGCTGACAAGACTGGTGCTCCTGTCGAGGCTCTGGTCGAACTGTGGAACGGAGAGATGACCAGGGCTGTGGACACGATCGCTCCTAAGCGTCCTCTCCCACCAGGCAGAGTCCACTCTTCCCCTTGGTATACACCTGAATTACGGGCGATGAAGCGAGCTGGGAGACGGCTAGAGCGTAGGTGGAGGAAATCACGGGATGAATCTGACTGAACAC